GGCCATCCATCCTCTTTCAATTCCTTCATATAGTTTCTGCAGCCATTCTCTCACCTTTTTAAACCTGATTTTGGATTCATCTACACCCCCATTCTCCTTGTTCTGAAAAAAAAATAAATAAATAAAAATGAGTGATAATCCTGAAAAATTGGTGCTGAAAATTCTGGTGCGATTGCCTACAAAGTCTCTGCTGCGATTCAGGTCTGTTTGCAAATCCTGGTCTTTGTTGATTAATAGTCCCAATTTCATTTCTTCACACAAACTTCACAACCAATCTACTGGTAACTATAATCTGCTCTTTAGGTGCTTCACCGATAAAGAAATCTACACCTTATTTGATGAAAAGTGTAGATCTAGTGCTTTAAGAACTTTTAGAAAAACAATTGGGGAACTTGATTTTCCATTTTATCAGCCTCTAAGGGAGTACTACACAGTTGTGGGTTGTGTTGATGGGCTCATTTGCTTATGGGATGAAACTTATGACCTTGTGACTCTGTGGAACCCCGCCATCAGAAAGTCTTATCCGGTTCCTTATTTTTATGGTAAACCGTCTGATATTACATCACGGACTTACCTAAAATGTTCTTTTGGGTTTGGCTTTGATGCTTTAGCTAATGACTATAAAATTTTGAGGATTGCCTTTTGGTTTCATAGTTGCCCAGCAGGTAGGAGAGTTGACCGTGAGCCTTTTTCTTACAGGACTAAACCCTTTTTATGCTCCGCTGACATTTTCTCTTTGAGTACTAAATCATGGAGAAGTGTCAAGTTTTCTATGCTGTTGCAGCAACTAAGTGTTCCGGTTTTTGTTAATGGTGCTCTCCATTTCTTGACTCGCAAAGATAGTAATCAGTGCTGTATTGTGTCATTTAGTCTGAGTGCTGAGACTTTTGTGGAAATGGCATGTCCTCAGGGTGGGAAACTTAATGCTAACTTAAATCATCAGATTGCGGGGTCCTCTGGGACTATTTTTCTGTTCCATCAACTTCCTGAGAATCAATATGACATATAGGTAATGAAAGAGTATAATGTGAAAGAGTCATGGACCAAACTATTCTCAATTAACTTGAATCATGGAGGACGGAAACAATTAATTAGCGTCACTAGGAATGGAGGATTGATTATATGTGGGAAGGGTAGCTGGATTGGCTACCCGATTGTGGAAGATGTAGAAGTTGCGGATCTTCGGCCCCTGAAGTCATACATAGCTGCGCATGCAGAATTCTCTTCGGAAAGTCTGGTTCTATTGGGGAACGACGATTGTGTAACTTATCAGCAACGAAAAAATGAGAAGAAGAATGCAGAGGCGAGGATAAGGCAGATAGAGTGCACTTGCCGTCTATTTGATGTAAGCTTCTTTTTTCCTTGCTGGCTTTGAACTTGCATCAATTGGTAAAGTATTATCTTGCTGTTTCATTTTATGAGCCGAATGTCATAATCCCATAGCTTCCCAAATCAGGGTGTATATTTAAGTCCCCCCCCTCCCCCCCTCCCCCCAAAAGCCCGTGGATTGTTTATGTGAAGTCTCTGATCTAGTCATTATATTCTGCTAGCATGTCTAGTCCATTTTTTTTCCTCTTTATTTACATGGACGAGTTATTTTGTTTTTCTTGGTCATGTGTAGATTTTGCATTTATAGTCCCTATGTCTTGCAAATTTTAATGCATGTCTGACTGATATCCTTCCTTAAAATATACGCTTTTCTTCTTTGTCACGTAAACTTGAAACATCTAGCTAGATCTAATGTGTGTGACTGATATTTGTCACGTGAATTTTTACGCACATGTTTTAAATCTGGAATTAGATGTTCTAAATTTTGCAAATCAAATGTTCTAAATTATCACTCACGTAGATATTCTAAATTTTTACTTCTATGTTCTATATTTTTAATCATGTGTTCTAAACTTTAATCACACACGCACGCACGCACGCACGCCCCGCACACGCACGTACGCGCACACACACGCACGTACGCGCACACACACGCACACACGTGCACGCGCACACACACACATACATATTTTGCATAAGAGTTGTAACTCTTTGTGTTGAAGTTTTAATGAATGTTCTGTGCAAATATCAAATATCATAATGGACTGTTAGAATTTATAAGTAACTCTTGTCTAGATTCCATCCGAGAAAGGAAAAAAAAAATATTATTCTTAGAGGAAGATGATTAAGAGTGATATGAGTCCATTGGGGATCAAGGGAAATATGACGTTGGAGTGTTGGACAGTTGGACGGAGAAATTTTAAGCAAAGACAATGACTTGACTTTAAATATGTATACTTTTTTTTTTTTTTGAAAATTTTAATTTAATAACAAAGATTCATTCATAAATATAAAGTCAATGAAATCTAGAAAGAAATTTATATCTAACAAATACGTGACCATTGAATCAAATCAAATTTCAGCAAAGCTACGATCATTGTGGCAAATCGTACATTCTTTATACCTTTTTTCACATTATTATGATTTACAACCTTCTTCGACGAGGGGTTCTTTCGATTTGTTGTACCCGTAAAGAAAATTTCCGCCTCATTCGTCTAGTTGTAATTGAAAAACTAACTTCCTTTATTATCCCGCACAAATCTTTATCCTTGAAACAACTCTATAACAAAAGAACAAATCCCCCTTCAAAAGAGGAAAAAAAAAACCTTTCTTTCAATGGAGAAAAATTCTCCTAATGAAGAAGAAAACCCTTTTCTTTTGCGGGAGAAACGTTTCTCCTAGAAGAGGAAGAGTTTTTATAAACCTAAAACAAACATAAATAAAGATAAAAGGCTCACAAAAAACAAAGAATGGGGCTTTTCAACAGTAACAACCGATGGAAGTCCCTCCAAAGTTTAATAATGAAGGCTAGAGTTTCTAGAGCGAAGAGAGGGGTATTAACACGGTTCATTAACTAATGACATATATGTATACTCTCATTCTGCTTGCAAATTTTATTTATTTTCTTTTGCAAGGCCTATTCAAACCTCTTATGTGTTTCCCTCTCTTCAAATCTCCTCTTGGCCCTCTTTTACGGGACTTTATCAATTTCTATGTGTATATCTTCATCTTTTGAGTTTCCAATTTACACTGTTGTCACTTAAGGATGCTTATGCTGTTGAACAAGAGTCTCTTAGAATTAAAAAAAATAAAATAAAATAAATAAATATTTGCTTAAAATTAAAAAAAAGGGTGATAAAAATGCTTTGAGTCCAGCTTTTGCATGCTGTTTAGCCCTCATGAGTAATGACCTGTCTACTTTTGATTTCCCCATTTCTTAGTACGGTAAGAAATATATTTATGTATTTCCTTTGACCTTATTTTCCTTGGCATCTTACAAATGCACAGTGTGACAGTGGTTGTTAGCTGCAGTATTAATTTGTATTGTATAAGTATGGACACTTGGTAAATTACTAAATTACATCAGTTTGATTCGTTGATATTTTCATGCGCACATGAGAACTTTCTGTTCATGACCATTTTTGGCAACTGGGAGGGTTAGTATTATAAACAGCTGGGTGTTCTCTCTAGGACATAATGATATGTCATTTCATCATCTTAGTTGCTTATGTGTCTCTGGATCCATTCTTGTCTTGTTTATTTGCAAATACTTAGTTTTATGTGTGGGTGTACTTACATGTTGATGTGAATACAACTTTATTTGACATGTTACTTTGATTGTTGTAACTTATAAACTAGAAATTTAGTAGAAAACATCTTGGTTTATGATATTTAGTAGAAAACATCTTGGTTTATGATATTTAATAGCTGTTTTTCTAGCAGCATACTAGAATTAGTCAAATGTTATGCTGAAGTAGTATGTGCATCCATTTAAGATTTTTGTGGGGAAAGCACATTCGTACTATGTAAGTATGTATATTAAGATTCAATTTTAGAGATCCTAAAGTTTTTGAAGCAAGCCTGTGATGTCTTCAGCCAAACCAGTTTCTTTCATTGTTGCATTTGAGAACTAGAAATATATCAGTAGCTTACTTTCCCCATCCTGAAAAAATTCTGATCAATATCAAAAAATTATCTTCCCGTTTTAGTTTGTATTATGATGAACGCTACAAATGTTTCCTTTCAAGTGGTTTTTTTAAGTGTTCTGTATTTTACAGCTCTTTTCCAGTTTCCTTCTGAGGGAACAGAGATAATTCAGGCACCTAACTACATTATGATGTTACTATGAAGTAATGAGTATGTCTGGGCCGTCTGGCATGTATGAGTCTGTTTAAAAATGCTATAGCTTGTTGGATACAGGAAGTTGCGTAAGTTATATGTTGACTTTTTGCTGTTTATTAAAATATATCAGTATAGAAGAGTCGTCTTTTGTTATAGTCTGTTTTGTATCAAAATCTTCATATCTGGCTGGATAGTTTATGGGCATATTGAATAGTGTGTTATATCTATATAAAGTCATCAGATTAAGCAAATTAATTGTGAAAGGTACTCTTGCTTTTCCTGAAAATTCACAGGACTTGAGGATGAACTTTGCTAATCCAGATGTCAGAAAGAGACTGGGATGTAGGTGTGAGCCGCCCTAGTGGTTTATGATTGAGGCATGTTCATGGGCATCAAATCTGGAGACTGAGATGTTGATGTCGCCGCCTTAGTGGTTTATAACCGTTGCAAACTCTTTAGCAGCTTGTCATTTTCATTTGTTTTTAAAAAGTTTTTTGCTCTAATTCTCAGTACTCCAACCTCTGCTGCAGCAGCCTTGGAGGTTATAAACGTTGTTGCAAACTCATAAGCAGCTTGTTATTTTCGTTTTTTTGTTTCGTACTGTAGTTCTCGACACACTATTTGAGATTTTAGTGGGTTTGAATGTTTTATTGGATTGCATATCTATATTGAATGATTTCCTGGTTTCAAATTTTCTTTACCCTTCTTTAGAAGTACTACAGTGTCTGGTTTTCCATTAGCATCTGAGTATCTGGTTTGTCAATCAGATGAGAATTTGCATTACATACAATCTGAAAACACAACAAATAAGATAGGTTCTTACAGAAAACTATAGCAACTTATATAAGATATTTTATAATAGTGTGATTAATAAAAAATATTATCTACAAACAAGGGTAATATCTACTGTAGAACCTACTGAAGCTACTAATTTGGCTCTTTTATTCATTTGGAAGGACTCCAAATGAGTTTACAGGTCAAATAATGTATTCTTGGAACCATGCATATGGTACAACTGGTTTTATCGAGGATCAAGGACATCTAGGTGCCTTAACGACCAAAATCATAAAATTAGTTCCTATAAGAGAGCAATCGACTAATTAGTTCATTCATGGTCTTCTGTCAAAGCTTCAATAAAAGAACTATAACCTAGTATTGCTTTCACCGGCTAAATTATCGGGCTGTGGGCTAGCAGTAGAGTTAATCTTTACAAAACATCTGATAGTTGGTTGATCAGTTCCATTCATTGGCATTGAAAGTCTCCCTTTCTGATTCCAGCATCTGCAAGACTGCAACTCAACTACCAAAATATCTCAGAAATGCTATGCCTGCCTATACATATTTGCCACGTTATGCTCGCTTCCTCCCCTGGCTGTTTCTTCTGAGGTTTGATCCAACTTCTCACTCTGTGTAGCTTTTTTTTCCGTAGAGTTTGACACAATGTAGTTCACCAAGGCACCAGTCTTGGCAGCCTCCATATACAATACTTTGACCAAATTCTGGAATCGCCGCCTGAAAGTTGGCATTCTTGTCATGGATCCCACAATCCCCTGCAATCTAGAGGGACAATAATGTTTTGTTTATTACTTGCAGTTTTAAATCATAACCCTCTAGATGACTTAAATTGCCGGGAAGTAGAAAGCAAAATCATAGTTTTACTTTTATGAGTTGCATTGATATAATCTATATGTTACGCAAATACATACCTTCTGATGACAGATTGTAGTTGTGCTCTTCTGACATTATCTTCAGATGGAAACCCAATATTATCCCAATCCTCTGGTGTCTCATTTTTGCAAATCATGATTGCTCGACACAAACAAGCCTCTTCACTGTCATCCAAATTTAATATTCTGATCTGCTCTTTCATGACCAACAAAGGTTCGATTAACCACTGAAACATTTTATCTCTTGGCCAATTTGTAATCGTCAAATCTGCCTCATCAGCTACAGAAAAAACACACGAGGATTAGGGCATACACGTCAATACTGAAAAAATTACAGGATGTCAGGTGTGGTAGAACCATACAGATGACTAAACCAGGTGCATCCGACTTAGCAGAGGCAAGCAAACACTTCAAAATGCACCATGCAGGGAGTGCAGTACCCAATTTCTTGCAGTCCCCTTTCACAACACACTCTTCGATGTCTCTCACATTTATCAGACCTTCATGAAGTAATTTCCTTCCATTCACCTCACATGATTTAAACAACCAATCCAGTACCTAATAATTTTCACCAATAAAATGCAGTAAGATATCATGAGAAACGAATATCAGAAAATCTTATTCAAAAATCAAGATTATCTTCTAATTTATTAAAACACCCTTCCAACCTGCATTCCTAAATCAAGAAAGTGTTTCAAAGTTGGGAAAAATGAGAGATTTGGCTCGCACAACCAAGAATTGTTACAAGTGATAAAATTATTTCTCGTAAGTACTAGTGCAGGATTATTCGGTGGTAGTAATGCAATTACTAAAGTGGCATAGAAACTCAGTGAGGAGTGAGGATCATGCATGTCATCTTACCTTTATAGGCTTATATTGTTGAATTGCTGCTTTCAATGTTCTCGAGCGTTGTGAGATAAGCTTTGAATCACTTAGCTCTTCTTTTCCATCCTTTTCAACATTACTTCCATTGTCATATGATGAGTTTCTTCTATGTAAGCTATCTGGAGGGACATGATTACGATATCTTGGCCTGGCTGTCCCAAAAAATTGCCATAAAATTCAATTGTAATCTGACAGTGAGGGAAGAGAATTTTGTACATAAATTGATAAACTTAATGGTTGAAGTTCGGTAAGATACCTGGGAAGGCGTGATCCGGGTTCCAAATAGAGTAAGTCATTTGCATACTCATCGAAGAGTGAGACAGCAGCTACAACAAATGCAATTCCCATTCTCAAAGATTTTTCCTGTGACCATTTAAGTAATTAACATCATCTCACTGGTTTTTCAAGGCATGTTTAGTAAGAGTATATTAGATACGTAAGGAATTAATACTGCGTATTATCATATATGTTGCAATTGCTTCTGTGATACGGAGTATGTTATATCTGATATTTGCTATATATATATTTATAAAAAAAAAAAAGACATTAAATCCTCTCTCACAAAGTAAAGATCACACACCTGATGAACGACAATACCAGCATAGAATCCAAGAAAAAAACTAGACATAAATGCAGCAAGAACTGATCCAACCACGGCAAGAGGCCAAAGGATAATGGCCAGACCACCAAATGGGACACATACTGTCTCGAGGAACGGTCCTTCTCTTCCAAGGAAATCTTCAATTAGCCTTTTCCATCCAGTAAAAAGCATGTATGGGCTCTTCCAAAGAGCAAGAACTGTTATCGAAGGTACATCTATCAACAACCCGACTAGGCTGACCAACAAACAACCCGGCAACCTTGATAGCCTACGAAGAGACAAAACAGTGCATGAGTAGAAACATCCAACCCTCAAAAAATTCTTATGCATGAACAAGCACATTATCTGTTTGGGAAAAACACAATTTATCTTTACTTTATCTCCAGAGGCTTCTCATCAGCGGGTCTTTTCATGATGAGCTCATCCATGTAGGAGAAGTAGGAGTGGAAGCAAAAATCAGTGAAGTCCCGTACCACTGTGCAGCTTCCCTGAATCGTTTCCCAACAGCCATCCTAAGAAAACAAATATCAAATGTAAGCAATCCGAAATAGTAATAGTCCATAGAATTAATCTATGCTGCAATGGAAAAAGTAAAATGTTGACAAGAAGAATAATGTTTGAGGTCCTTCAGGACGGTCATCATCCTCTATTTCTTGGTAAAGAATAACCAAATTGGACTTACAACTATGCAATGGTAGGTTTTGTCAGCGACATTTTCTCCAACAGCTTCAAAAGTTGCAAGTATTGGCGAAAAAAACCCAAATCCAAAGCCACCTATAAAGCTCCCAAGAATACCAGCAATAGGCCAAAGAACAAGAGGCAATGGCAAGGAAAGCAGCATCAAAATCTTCAGCGTAATTCCAAGTTTCTTTGTTCTGTTATTCAAATGCCAAAATACAATAGGTTTAAGAACACAATAGTAAAATACCATGAAAGTGATAAAGATTTATGAAGGCATATAATTTGTTCTGCTAGAATAGCATGAAAAGAACAAAACACACCTTGCTACACAGTAGAAAGTCCAAATGATATGGGCAGGCCAAAGTCCAATAATCACCGAAGAGTTTCCAACACCGATAATGCCAGCTGCAATCGGACTGATGACTAAAGCTGCAATATGTAAATCAGATCAAGAGTATCAATTTGTGCAAAATATGATTAGCCTAAAGCCTACATGATCACACTTATATAATATGTATCTTTCCGTACGTATCTATTTCGCATCTTTCTGTACAAATCTCATTTTGTATGTTAAAATGTGTTTCCCTTGTTAATCATCCCACCTTATAAATTACCCTGACTATGTATTTCACAATTGTAGGGGTGAAATGAGTCGTCACACAATCATTTTCCACAAAATTGTTATTACTTGTATGAAACTGCTACAATAGAATCATACAATGTGATTTGTAACAATTGAACTGCAAAACTGCTAGTAGAGAACAAGAAAATTTTGGGACTGTCATTGGTTCATACAAAATGCAAAAAGCGAGTTTGTACTTTGTAGCCAAGATTAAGACTACAGAGTAGTAAATTTGCATATACTTGTTTTGATTCTTGGAAAATCCAAGTGAGAACAAGTGTCCTTTAACATGTAAATTGGCCATCTGAAAATAATTTAGTATCAAACAACAATTTTGTCTGACATATTCTGTACAATGTGCAGGCAACTCCTAAAATCTTTTACCAGGAGCTTGACTCGAGCTTAATAATATAAGAAAATCTTCAAATAAATGCAAAGCCAAAACTAGTAATGAATGAGATCATAAACACGGTCGACATAAACATTCAGTGACTCAATGTCTCATTAACATCCTCATGGACAACCAGACTTGGTAGGTCAATACACAAGAATGTGGTTGGCACGTAATAATTTAGATATGAAACTCGACTACCCTCAATTATCAAAGTTTCGGATGATGAAGCTGGCATAAGTAAGTATTCATAATGTCTGTATCCCTTTTCCTATCTCTGATACAATACAATTTTGATTTGAATGGTAGCAAGGCAACTAGTGATGGTCATATTGTCAACCAACTACTCCGTAAAATCTAACACTACATGCTTGAAAAAAAAAAACACACACACACACACACACTAGATGCTTCGTTTGGAACTCTATGATTGCAGTGTTACATTTCTGCCAACTACTCAATAAGACCATAATCACCATCCTAGGTGAAATTTGTTATAAGTTCAGATTAGTCTAGCTAAAGTGATTTAGTTTTGATAAGATAATAATAAGGTGGACAGTTACATTCATTTTGACTCTCCTTTATTAAGTATTCTTTTATAGTCGGTTCAATTGCATAGCTAGAGGAACAATATAGATTGTAGTGAACTTCAACAATCTCCATTATTAGGGACACTACAAAACCATGATATCATTATATGTACTCTCCAATGCATGAGTTAAAAACTTTCAATCAGCATTGCCTATTTACAGACTACGGAGTACTTATGTATCGTGTTGAGACGATTTATGCTCACTTAGGCCCCGTTCGCTTCACCTTATTTTTGCTGAGGTGGGATTATTTTTACTGAACTAAAATTATTTTTGCTGAATTTAAATTATTTACTGAACTAAAATTATTTTTGCTGAACTTAAATTATTTACTGAACTGAAAATAATTTTACTGATTTTCTATTATATTTTTCTTTAAGTTTATTGAGTTTTACTGAACTGAAATTATTTTTACTGAACTAAACTTATTTAAGGTAAAGTGAATAGGGTCTTCGTAACTCGGACTCTAACCATCAAAACATCATTCACCTTAATTAAATACGAGTAGTAATCTCCCCAATTGTCCCTAAAAAAATGACTACCTTCAATCAAACGTAACCTATTGATCTTACACCATTTATTACACATACACTTTATATCTGTATTAAAAGTTAGGCAACCATATAATTTTTAATACATAGATTAAGCAATCAATTAAGAAAAAAACAAGCTCATAACTTACAAATTAAATAACAAAACTTAAGTAAGCAAGAATACAAGCTCTTAACCTTCCAAATTAATTACATAGCAAAACATGCAACAAAAGATATCTTCTTTTTTAAGAGAAAAGCAAAAATTACACAAAAATATATATATTGATTGTAACAAAAATTTTATCAAAAAAAAAAAATGAGAAGTATTATAACCTTTGAGGATGCCCAAAATAAAGAGCGAAATGAAAAAGGGCAAAAATTTGATGAAGCTCCAAAGCTTCGCTATAAATCCCACTGGTACATTCATTTGTATTTTATTTTTCTAGAAATTTTTAATTTTGATGGTACGTGTAGAAGAATAATTATAATTAACTTACAAGTATATGAATTTGATGAACCGCCTTACTATTAACAATTAATATTATACAGTAGTAGTATAATTTTATTTTCTCGAATATAATACTTTTTTTGTTTGTTTGTTAATGATATTTGAGTGCATAATTAATTATAAATGTTACGAAAATTTTAATTAGTTGGGAAAATAGTGAAGATTTAGTGGTGGCAGCATGACTAGAAGATGCCACATGTCAGTTAAATGGCAATGAATGCTGGTGCCGTGTCGTTAGATGGGTCCTTCTCAAACCCACCATATCCAACGACACGGCACCTCTATTATTATCACCCCCTTTAATGTGACTTTAATTGTTACTCCGTATTAACTAGAAATGTCTTAGGTAGAGGGTCAAATCGGATGTTCGGATCGGGTTTGATGTGTTCAAGTTGGGTCGGTTTAATTTTTAAAGTTGAGTCACATAAAATTATTGTATCCACGTGAATTTAAATTTGAATCGGATATTTTTTGGGTTAGTTTTAAATCGGATCTGATTGAGTATGCTTTTAACACCTCTAGTCCAAGTTATTAGATCTTTGTAATTTTTTATCTCAGAAAACACAAGAGAGCTAAGTGAGGTTTTTTAAAGGGGTATCCATTCTAGGATATTTCAGGGCAACTTCTATAAAACTGTTCGTTGTCAGAAATTCTACCGTTGGATTGGACACAAAGCTCAAATTGGCAGCTTATATCTGGCATCAAAAGCTTCATTTTGGAGGGTTGAATCGTCGTTTTGAGCTTCATTTGGGGTACTTTTCCTCCTAATTTATCAAAAAGGGGAAGTATATTGGTGGACTCCTCAAACGATCTCGTGATTTTTATCGTTCACATCAAATGAGTTGTCTGTAACACTTTGGTTAGTTTTAACTTGTAATATTGATGAATAAGCAATAAAGATGTGATTTTTGAGGAAAGTAGGCAGCTTTTTGATTAATGAAAATGGATGAAGTTTGCACAATGGTGGCTTGAGGCCACTACTCTCTGATTTAGTACCTTTAGGGCACTACTCTCTAGCTCTAATGATTACAAATATCTGCCTGCCTGCACATCCCTACCCTCCCTTTCTTATATATACATGATCATCCTAAAAAGAGAAAGAAGACAAAAGATTATGGCAGCTGTCATGAGGAGAGGGGTTGCTCACTGATTGACAGGGTAAAGTCGTATCCCCTAATCAAAAATAATTCCTAAGTCCTCTAACTAAAGTAGATAGGGAAGTAGGGTCGATCTCCACAGGGAAACAAGTCTTTTTACTCCTAATTAATTATTATAATCTAAATTATCTAAGTAACCAATATTTATATTCGAATAAGGAACTAAACTACTAAGATTGAGAATAGAGAGAAAACAATATATGAAAGGATCTAGGGTATATGTTCACCAATAAATAATACTCCAGGGTAAAACATAGTAATCAATCATTGACATTGCATAAATAACACGATTAACAGGCTCTCGCAATTTATTAATCAACATAGATCTAACAGGCTTTCGCAATTTACTAGATCTAAGTTCTTATTGAAAATAGCCTTTAATATCAAATCAACATCTGCTCGATTCATCAATTTAATATTGCTATACTTTTACAAGCCGCAATTGTAAAACGTTAAAATAATTCAATAAGAAATTATCATGCCATACCAATAATCAATAATAGTCAATCATCAATGCATCAATTAACCAGATTGTAAAGGGCTTTCGCTACGTATTACAATCACAGAATTAATCTACCGGAATTAAATCTCATCTCTCTAATCTCGACTTAACCATTTATAAATTAACCTGCCTATTGAAACTAGATCTAAACATCAATTCTCATCTGTCGAATCTCGAATCAATATTGTTAAACTCATGCATAAAAGATCTGTGCAAAACTAATTTGTATTAATGGAAATAATCAAGAGCAAGGTTTGAGAGAAAAGTTAAGAGAGAGAAAAAATCCTAAGGAGAGAGAGAAAGTCTAAGAAAGAAGATAAACAAAAATTTCGTACAAAACTCATATATAAACGTTTCCTAAAACAAAAATTAAAACTAACTAATCAGGTCCTATAGAAACACGCGCCCGATCGGGCACGCTTTTTTCTTCGCGTTCCTTCCCAGCAGCATCGCCCGATCGTGCTAGACGCTCGCACGATCGGGCGCGCTATAAGCACGCACAGCACCTGGCCTTGCCGCGCCCGATCGGGCGACCTCCTGCCCGATCGAGCCCTTGCTCCACTTTGAGGCTCGGACTTCGATTGGGCTTGATTTCTCGGCCCAATCCGAATTTCCTCTTCGGGTCTTGAACACTCGGTCCGAATACCCCGGGATCCCAATTACCGAGCCCTTAATCACCGGCTCTCACCGATCCTGAGCTCCAAAAGTGGTCGTGTCCTTCTAGCTTCCGTAGTTGATCCATAAAGCCCGGGAAAATGCTCCAAGAGTGCAATTTCCTGTAAAATACAACTAAAACTACGAAAACACTAGAAAACATAAATTAGTAATAAAAGTGGCTCTAAAGAGCCCAAAACACTACTAATAACGACCAAGGGACGGGGGTAAAACATTATTTAAAATGGACATATCAAACTCCCCCAAGCCAAACCTTTGCTTGTCCCTAAGCAAAGATCTCATCAATGAATAAATAAATATGCTTCACCCCAAAAAGTAAAAATCAAGCACAAACGATCCAGGGTAAATCAAATAAACATGCTTCAAAGATGTACTCGATCGCTCTCCATCCAACCCCTCTATGTGAACAATGCCCTCCCAACTCACACTCTCGTGTGTATAAAAACAATGAACGCTCATCCAACTAGTCGACTCAAAATATGCAAAATCATAACTTGCATTGATAAACAACACTTTCACATTCATACAATTCTATACACAAGGGTCAGAATGTCTTTAAAGCTTGTAATGTAAGGATAGGGTAAAGGGTAGGATAAATTTGGGAATAAGTGAGAGAAAAGCTATGCTTAAAGGAGCCATATCCTAATAAAACCCATGATCAAAATAAATAATGATCATACATCTCCTACATAACCAACTCTAACATCAACCAAATATACTCCAATCATAATAAATAATCCCAACTCTTACAATATCACTCATAAAATATAATAATGAAGAAGTGAAGTGAATAAACAAACTTTATTTCCAAACTTAAATTTTTTTCATTGAAGCTCAAAATTATTTTTTTTTTCTTTGATCAACCTCCAACTAGAACATTTGAACATTTTTTTTCTTTTTGAAGTTCACTTATTTTTTTTCACACATTTTTTTTTCTCTTGAACTTCTCTTTTTTTTTTCATAATATCATGCTTTATTTTTTCAAGAAAATATAACTCTCAAACTCATCAAAAATAAACATGAATAACAACAAAACAACTTCTCAAATCCCACCCAAATTGTGCAAATAATAAGCACACTACAAACTCCCTCACCTCACTCACTAATAGCTCCCCCAAGCCAAGCTTGGGACTAGTAACCAATGGGGCAAAATAGGCTTGTAATGTGGCTAATAAACAACAAAAAGTCAAGGCAACAACATGGGTAGCAAGAAGGGAACAAATGTATCTACAATATCTGGAGGCTACCTAAAAGAACAAATGCCTTCGTCCTCCACAATGTGCATAATAATGAATCATATAAATATTACTAATAGTTGCAAACCAATACTCAAATTCATTGACATACCAGGAACTATGGAACTATCACACATTCCTTACCAAATCAACTAGTCAAGCACTATATTCACAAGTAGTTGGACAAAATTGATGCATGTAAAGGTTTCAAGGCAATCAAACATCAAATCATGATCAACTAATCCACAATGCCTATCATCAAATACCAAGAATCGAAACAATTTTCTCAAGTAAGGGGCACAGGGAAGCATAATTTATAATTCATTGGAACGTATTTTTGGGATTTTTTTTATTTTTTTCAATTTTTTTGTATTTTTCATAAATAGGAAAGCAATAAAAACTACACTAGGAAAGCAATAAATAGAGAAAAGAGAAAGAGGATTACCATATATACAAGAAATCTCCCCCCAAGCCAAATCAAGTTATGCCCTCATTGACTTGGGAGGGTAGCTAGGAAGAGCTACTCCTCATCGTCATCCATCCTCTCATATCCTCCTCCATGACTCGAGCCGACACCACCCTGGCTCGGTCCAGCACCACCATAGCCCGAACCACCTTCAAAGTAGTTAGGGTCCACATTCCCCCCCATACCCCCAAAAGGAGCATCACCCCCATATCCGTGGACTGAAGAGTAGTCCACATAAGTACCATACGCACCGGGGTGAGAATACCCTCCTTGGGGGTATTGGAACCAATCGGGAGTAAGTGAATCGGGAGGAATAGCCCCTCGAAGGGCATAATCGTCATACATGGGGTATAGACCCCTCCCGAGGTTCCTCTCTATGTAACCAACCCGCCCAACTAAGGTGCTTAACCTAGAATCTAGGTTTTGCATCATACCCTCAACTCTCCCTTGCCCCGTCTCGATACGGTCTAATTGGCTCCTAAAAGCCAAAAAGTCATAAGGGGCATTGGGGTCGACGTTATAGTCAACCGAGGAAGTGGTTACGCCATAGGTGAAGGGTGGAGGTGATGGATAGTGTGGTGAATGGTGAGTAGGGGAATGGTCTAGGGGGGATTAGTGGGGTTGTGGTGAAGGGTGAGGTGATTGAACCTCACCTTGACCATTAATCTCGAAAGTATAAGAAGGTTTCCCCTTCTCAAATTTGGTCAAGGCGGGTTTGGGTAAGGTAAAGGCTTGATCCCTCCTACCCGATTGTCGGTGGACTATCCACCAAGTATCACTCACCACGGGTTGCACCCAGTTCAAACTCCCTAAATAGGCTAGGTCCATGAGGTTTGACCCTACAACTTTTCTATGCCCATCCGGGTTCCAACCTAGGTGTTTTCTAGCAATGTGGGTCACTAACCCCCCAAAATAAATAGGTTCCCTAGACCTCCTAGCCTCGGCCGCATTGGCCGCCCTTTGGAAGCGATTGGCTATCCTATGGGGTATGTTCAATTTTTTGGCGGTAGGAATTATATAGGATGCCAAAAGTTCCAATTCATCTCTCCTAACATTTTCCG